CTGGCCCGACTGCAGCACGCGAGTGGAGCGTGAAGGCCCCTGTGCAGCTGGCACAGCTTCGCCGCCGCCGCCGACGGCCCCACGGTGTGCTGCAACCCCTACCACTTCAGCCGGCTCTGAGGGCCAGGTGAGCGCGTTGCGCCGGCCGAGGGACGGGCTTGGGCTCGGGGTCCCCCTCCGGTCCCCTTCCGTGGCCTTTTTATATCGGACACCTCGGGTGGGCAGAGCTTCGGTGCTCCCGCTCCCGTGGGTGCCCCTGGGTGGTGGGAGTTTCAGTGGAGGCGCCTCACCCTGGGAGGGGATCTGGGCACACACATCAAATGGCAACTTCATCAAGGCACCAGCAAACTTAAAAAGGGTCACGGTGGAGTTTTCTTTATGTAGCTTCAGGCTCCAACTTTACAGGGAGAGGGTAGGCCCTAGGAGAAGCCAAAGATTGCGAGGCGGCCCCTCATTTACCCCCAGTCTGTGCTCAGGCTGTAGCGTTTGTGTGCATACGCCTATACCTAAGCTGTACTTTCTTACCACCAAGTGCAAGTATATGTTGTGAAATTGGGTGTAGACAATTCCTGGCTTGAGTCAAAGTGTTTGTAAATTGTCCCACTTGTTCCTTTGTATACTTTGGAGCAAAGCTTTTTCAGGGTAACCCCTCTCAAGGTGGATACCACCCTCTTGACCTGATTGCTCCCAGCATCCCTTGGGTGTTAAAGGTGAGGGCTCTCCATCATCATTCTCAATTCTGTGTCTAGTTGAGGGTCCTGGGGGCATTTATGAGTAGGTGAAGAAGCCAGGTATTTTATTACATCTGAGGAGTGCTCCCTGTCTTTGTTCCCTCCCTGGGACGTCCTGCACACACATACCACCCCCAGCCCAGCTTACCTGAGGATGCCCTGGGTGCTTTAGCAGAGGTGAGGACAGGTGGAGGTTCTTAGCAGGTCAGAAGCTTGCAGGAACACACATTTTAACCTGTAGCATCTTTGAGGTGTATGCATTTTAGGTGACTTTGGGGGTTCTGCAGGGGTGTGCCTATCAGAGAGTTATAGGCTGTTGGATGTTGGAGGGCTCCGAGTTTCTCCAGTCTGGTCCCTCTGGAGTGAGTGAGCACCCAGCCTGAGGGTCCATAGAGGGTCAGATCACAGGTCTCCTGACTCCCAGTGTGAAATGAGTGTGCTTGGGGGTAGTGGCTGGAGGGGAAAGGAAGGTGCCTCAGTGGTGGTTCACTGAAGGGGGTTGGTGGCGAAAGGCAGCATTGACCTGGCTGCCCTGCTCCCCACATGGGTTGTCATTCCAGGCCTGATTCAGGAGCTTCGACTGTCCCTGACCTGTGGCCCATGGCTTTCTGTGCCCCTTGTTCCTCTTTCTCACAGCATCCCCTGCAAGTGGCTTCCTCCCTTCTGCTAGCCTCTCTCCTCTCTGCCTCTGGGAAGGGGGCCCTATCTGTGGCCACCCCGTCCCTCAATGGTCATTATTGTTTAGTGGCAGGTAATTGGTGGGACCCACTCTGCTATTTTAGAAAGTCCTGGCAGGTATTTTCTCTCTCACCATGTCAGTCTGCCAGCAAATATTTGTTGAGCACTTATTCTGTGCCAGGCACCGTGCTGGATGCAGTAGCAGAGAGAGTGGACATATGAGTAGGATCCCTGCCCTCAAGAAAACAGTCTTCCAGGGGAGTTGGGGTGGAGATGGGGGGAGAAGGGCCAGGTCAGGGAGTGTGAACTATCAGCACTATGGGGTGTGTATGTAACAGGGTCACCTCCCGGAGCCCCTTTGCTCTAACCTGGAGCAGGCCTTTAGAGAGTGGGTAAGGGGAGCTGGGCGTTGGGGAGGAGAGGGGCAGCTGAGAGTCAAGATGCCTGTCAGGCAAGCTCAAGTGTGTGGGTGGGAAGGGGGGTAGTGAAAAAGCTGGAGACAACAGGTAGGACCCACCCTTACCAAGGATGATTGGTGGGTTGTCCCTACTCCTTGTCTGAGAAGTCATCTTGGGTGTTGACCTGAGTTTGGTGGACTTGGGCAGGTACACGTTGAGGGACAAACTGCAGTGGGATGGTGCTTAACCCCAGACTTGGTCCTAGGCTCGGCTTGGCCAGTAACAGGACTTGACCTTGGATGAGTAACCTACCCTGCTAGTCCCTACTGGTCAGTGGGGGTGGCTCCAGGAATATTCTCCACATCGAATTCTAGAGTAAGCACTGGGATTTGACTCCCTTCCTGTCCCCAGAAGGAGGCACTATTGCAGGGGCCATGTCTATTCTCCTTTCTCTTCCCCAACCCAAGGGGCCCCCCTTTTAAGCCATCCTGGGGGCTTTTGGGAGGACTGATGGTCTTGGACGAGTTTCCAGGATATGCCAGGTGGAGCCTGTTGCTTCATTCTCCTGCCTAATGGCATGGACACTGGGACTGAGAACTGGGGAACCCTTTGCTGCCCACCCTGCCCCCACCGGCTGGCCGGCAGCCTGGCTCCCAGAGCTGGGCGGGTGCATAGCTGGAGCTCAGTCGTGCGAGTCCTGATAAGGAGACTGCTCCTTCCAGGGCTCTGGGGGAGAGGGCTGGGGCACTGGGGCAGACAGACAGACAGCTAGAGAGTACACTGGAACACCCAGCAGGCCAACTGAGGGGCACCCACCTGGTGCCGTTCACGTCAGTGCCTCTAATCCAAACAGGGATCCTCAGTGACAGGAAGTCCCTTTCTGGGCAGTGCAGACCCTTGCTGCTCAGAGCAAACCCTGTTCCATCTGTAACCTCCTTTGGCACATTGGGGCCAGTTCTCTTTGGATGTCTTCCCATCTGTAAAGTGGTAAGGGTAGAACAGAAGCCCTGAGGTCTGACGGGCAGATTTCAGGTGACACTGGCCTACCTTCCCTGCCCTGCCCTCTCCCTCATGGCTTGTCTCAGAAAGTTGGTTCCCTCTGCCCAGCTCTGGTGCTTCCCCATCCGCCGTGGGAGTCAATCCCTAGCACTCCCTCCCTCTTTTGTGTCTTTTGTGTGTCTTTCTGTCCAGGGAAAAGCCAGTTCACTGAGCTTGGTGCCTATGTGGACGGAAATGTGGAGAAATACTTTAATCACAGTTCCAACCTGTGTTTATAGAGCTCCTTTCTCCTGAAAGTATCCATTAACTTTGGAATAAATCTCCTGCTCTTTGCTTCACCACTTTTTTTTTTCTGTAATTATATTCAGTAAATTACTATTATCCAAATTGCGCCAGGGAAAGAGAGTGAGAGAGAGAACTTCTAAACGACTGTAGGAGGCCGCCTAGGAAAACACAGGGTTCCCAGGCCAGGACTATAGGAATTAGAATGGGCTAGAAAGTTTTCCTTTTATTTGGCCTGGCATTATCCCTTTGAAATGAGATCAATTTCAAGTTGGGCTTCCAAGCCCCCGCCCCACCCCTCTGGCCTGCCCGCCCTGCTCCTTGGAGCTCCTCCTTGGAGGTGAGGAAGGGGTGATAATGTGCAGTTTGCCTCTTGCTGGCGCCAGCCGGCCGCGCTGTTTATCTGGCTGCCGGGGGAATCTGGGCAATTAGGCTCCACTGGCCTTAAAGTGCCAGGAGCTCCCTTTTTGTGTCTCCCACCCTGGGGCTTGGGGTTGAGCCTACGGCTTCTGGGGGAGGAGAGGACAGGCCCTGGGAGGCTACCTCCCCACCATCAGCCTCCACTTGGTAAGGTGGAGCTGGGAGGCCCAGGGAGGTCGATGGAGCCTTTCCTAAGCAGATGCTGAGCTGCAGGGATGGGGCGTGGAAAGTAGTGCCCCAAACGGAAACTTTACCAGCCCTGAGAGAGGCTGTGAACTCTTCCGGCTTTAGAATGAGATAGATCCCAAAAGGCCAGGTATCCTCTGGGGACTAAGCAGAGGCAGGCTGGGCTGAGCTGAGTTGAGCATTGGTCTTCTGGTACTTGCTGCCCCTGGCTGACTGCTCTCTCACTTTTGAAGAAAGTTGGAGGAGATTCCTGAAGTTGATGCCCGAGGCTGGATGTCTGAGGGGACTGGAGCTTCTGATCTTTCTGCCTCTCCTTCTCCCTCTCCTTTTCTCTCTTTCCCATTCTCTCCCTCCCTCCTCCATGTTCATTTCTTTTATTTGGGTCTGCAGGACTCTAAAAGTTACTATTTTTAAAAAATATATATATTTTATTTATTTTTACAGAGAGGAAGGGAGAGGGATAGAGAGTTAGAAACATCGATGAGAGAGAAACAGACCAGCTGCGTCCTGCACACCCCCTACTGGGGATGTGCCCGAAACCAAGGTACATGCCCTTGACCGGAATCGAACCTGGGACCCTTCAGTCCGCAGGCCAACGGTCTATCCACTGAGCCAAACCAGTTAGGGCTAAACGTTACTATTTTTAAAGAACACAACTTTTACAAGCACTAAGCTTCTAAGAAGGGCGGGTACAGAGGGTCTGAGGGCAGCTCACACCTTTCTAATCCAACCTTTTGTTTTACATATCAAGTGTCTGACCTGAGTGCCCACCTTGCTCACCTGACTTAATGTCCTGGAGCTCCATTCTCCCAGACCCATGGGACCTGGATATATGGAAGTGGAGGTGTCAGTTAAAGGTCACCCAGGCCTGGCCAGTGTTGCTCAGTGGTTCAGTCCTATGAACCAGGAGGTCACAGTTTGATTCCCAGTCAGGGCACATGCCAGGGTTTTGGGCTCCATCCCCAGTAGGGGGCGTGCAGGAGACAGCTGATCAATGATTCTCTCTCGTCAGTGTTGTTTCTGTCTCTCTCCCTTCCTCTCTGAAATCAATTAAAATATATATATATTTTTTGAAAAGGTTACCCAGTATTGTTCATAGCATTATTCCTAATAGCCCAAAAGTGGAAACAACCCAAATGTCCATTAGCTGATGAATGGATGAACAAAATGTGATATATCCAATGAAATGTCATACAATGGAATACCATTCAGCCATAAAAAAGAATGATATGCTACAACATGAATGCACCTTGAACACATAATGCTAAGTGAAAGAAGCCAAGACACATGGTCACAAGATACAAGGTCATACATGTGCACAGTTGTGTGAAATGGAGAGGAAGTAGATTATTTTGATTGCCTCGCATTTGGAGTTTGGGGGTGATGAAGATGTTCTATAATTGGGTAGTAGTGTTGGTCTCACAACTCTGAATATATTAAAAACCACTAACTTGTATACTTCAAAAGAGCGAGAAGAGTGTGTGAATGATAATTAAATTTTTCAAGAAAAGATAACGATACTGGTCCCCAACTAGCCTCCCCCTTTGTTCAATTGAAAGAGTAACTTCTACTTTTCTATGTGGCCTTGGGCTGGTCCTTTATCTTGCTGGATCTCAGTTGCCCCGTCTTTTAAAAGAAGTTGAGTTGGGCGAACTCCAAGAAGTTGAGTAAGGCAAACCTCTGACATTCTAATTCCTCCTGCTGGGGGTGAAGTCTGTAGGCCTTCATACTTTTTCACTTGCCTAGTGTAGAAGTGAGTAATTAGCTTCCAGTCCCCACAGTTGTTACAGTTCTGTGCAAACTGCTTTGCTGGTGCAAATGGGGGCCTGGGAAAGTCTTTCCCGAGCTTTGCCGTTCCCTGCTAGCTGGTGTGTCTGACATTTCAGGTTTGTAGATGCTTTCTGTCCCATTCATGTCGTTAGAACCCTGCCACCTCAGGTGTGGCCATGGGTGGTGGGTGTCACAATTCAAGGCCCAGGTGGCTCCTGCAAGAGACACTGAGGTTGATGACTGATAGTGGCTTGACTCCCACCACTGTCCTCTGCTGCTAAGTTTCACTTTTGGGACATCTCTGGGGGGCAGCTGTACAGAGCCTCCCACCTTGTGTGGCCTGGGCCTCAGCCTTTCAGATTTTTGCCAAAGGAACCCTAACACAGTAATTGCAGTCCTTCTGATAAGTTAGTGGGGTAGTATGGAAAGGGCCTGAGGCCGGGGGTCAGTAGACCTGGCTTCTGGTTCTGGCTGTACAACCAGCTCCCTATCTGGCCCTGAGGGAGTCACTTCCACTGTCCAGGCCCCAGTCTTCTGTACAGTTGGAGCACCAGCCTCAAGTCTCCTTCCCTGGGACACTCTAGCCCTACCTGTGTTTTGACTCTTGTCCTGAGAGGCTGGCTCTCACTCAAGTGTGGTCTCTAGCCCCTCCCAAGTCCTGAGGACCAGTAGATGAGGTGACTCCTACTGAAGGCAAACGACTCCCTCCTTCAGTCCTGGTGGGGGTCTCCTGTGATCACTTTGGCCCTTAAGTCCTCCTTATCCACACCTTTGTCCACTGATGCCCCCAATTTTACCATTGTCCTCATAACTGTTGTCTTAGTCCACAGATGCTTACTGAGCACTTTCTGTGTGGATGATGTGACGTAGCTGGGGTGAAGGGATAGAAGATGGGGTGCCTTTTGATTACCTGTCTCGTTGGGGTGTAGAGCAGAGTCAGCTTGGGCTCAAATCCTAGTTTTACCATGATTGGCTGGGGGACACTGGGCAAGTCAGTTTTCTCCTCCGTAAAATGGGAATATTGACCATTTTGTCTCTGAGAAAGGATAAAATAAAAATAAGTGCCCGATGAGCAACTCTGTACCTAAGGTCCAAGAGAATAAAATACAATAAGTGAAATTGAAAATGCCTGGCATGGAGGCACAGGGTAGGCTTTCAGCAAATGTTTGCTTCTCTCCCAGTAGCTACTCCATGATTCACTTTTCCTTCTCCCTAAATACTGTCCACAAAAGATGCCCTGTTTCTAGACCTCAGAGCCTTCACTTTGTTGAAATAATTTCTGGCTGGAAAAGCCAGGGTGGGGAAGAGCTGAAGCTGCATAGGGTGTATGGAGCAAAACAAATGCTCCTACAGCTAATTGTGCCTTATTATAATTACGAAAAACACTTATTACCCCTTGTGTCATTACTGATACCTGCCTAATAATAGTTATTACCACTTTACTACCACTGAGAGTTTGTTTTAGTTTGCGATTTGATGGTGTTTAGTTTCATTTAGGGAAAATGAAGGGTCATTTCATTCATGCAAATTGTTACTTAGTTTAGCAAATTGTTACTTCCCCTAAAGCAAGAGGCTAAGGAATTCTTCTGAAGACAAAGTATATGTTTTTAAGGAGGAGTATTTTAGGCAAATGAAAGGAAACCAAAAGAAAAATACCGTAGACAATAAGGAATCACACAGGGTCTGAGCTGGAAGGCAGGAGAGAGCTTGTGTCCCACCCCTTTGCAGAGTGAGGGCACTGAGGCTGAGGGCTGGCAGGGACTGGTTTAAGGTCTCACATCTAGGTAGCTGGGTTTGGCTTCTCGGGTCCCAACCAATCTTGCCCTCCTCCTTGCCCCAAAGAATGCTACTTCTGATGCACCTTGTTGGGAAATGAGCTTCTGTGTCTGAGTCTCTGCACTCAGACTCAATTCTGATTAGAGTTGCCAAATTTAGCAAATAAAAATACAGACTGTCAGTTACGTTTGAATTTCAGGTAAACAACACATACCTTTTTAGTATAAGTATGTCCCAAATATTGCGAGGGACATACTTATACCAAAAGCTATGCCACGGAAATCCAAAATTCAAATTTACCTGAGCATCTGGTATTTTATCACACAACCCTGGCTCTGGCTTTCCCCTGCACCTGTGTTTCTCATTACAATAATAACTGTTAAGTGTTTGTGGAGGTATTTTTCCACAGTACCAAGAGCTGAACTAAGCATTTTATATACATTATCTTCTTTCACCCACTTGGCAAACCTGGGAGGTCCATATGATTATTGTCACCGTTTTATTTATTTTTATTCTTAAGAAATGTTTTCTTATTGATTTTTTTTTTAAGAGAAAGAGGAAGGTAGAGGGAGAGAGAAACATTGATTGGCTGCCTCCTGCATGCCTCCTACTGGGGATCGAGCCTGCAACCCGGGCATGTGCCTGACTGGGAAATGAACCAGCAACCTTTTGGTGCACAGGATCGTGCCTGACCAACTGAGCCACACTGGCCAGGGCTAGTGTCACCATTTTAGAGCTGAGGAAACAGGCTCAGAGAAGTGAAGTAACCTGCCCAAGGTTGCACAGCCAAAGGTGGCAGAGCAGGGATTGACCCCAGGTCTGGACCCTATGCCTGGGCCTTACTGCTGAGCAGTGATCTGCCAGTGGATTTGGGCAGCAGAGGTGATGGGAGAAAAGGAGGGTTTCCTGTGAGCTGGGTTTATTATAGGAGGAAATCAATAATCAATAATCTTGTAGAAGAATCCCAATGTGACCTTTCCCACCCTGGCAGTGACATGCTGTCTCCTGTCTTCCAGAATCACCACCACCCCCCTACTCTCGGCTGTCTCCTCGTGACGAGTACAAGCCACTGGGTAAGTGTGTCCTTCCGACCCTGGGGGAGGTATGTCCATCCCGGGTGCCCCTTCATTCCAGCCTCCGAGCCGAAGGGCTGGGGGGAGGCGGGGTGGAAGCTGGCCTGGCTGCTTCTGAAATGGGGTGAAGTATTACAAACACACCCTCAGTTGGGCCGAAGCAGACAGCCTCTCCAGTGGGCTATTTACATCTTGAAATTCCTCGGCTCATCATTAACCTCTCCATGACCTTTAAACATGGGCCAGTGGGAGATGAATGGGTTTGGACTTAAGCATCTCATTGGAGGTGGGTTGGTATTTGTCTCTTTTCCTTTCTCTCCCTCCCCCAGTCTTAGATTATTCTCCTTTAGTGAGTATTAATTGTTACTATGACAGATAGGTTGAGCAAGAAGTCACTGTTGAGAGGAGCTATAGGTTTTCCCCCTTTTTAAGCCAAAAAGTTTACCTGGGCAGGAGCAACAGTCGGAACTTTTAAGAAAGCACTTGTATTGGTACATAAAGCCCCTGGCACGGCGGTCACGTCATTTTAGACAGGTCCCATTCAGAGGTAGAATGTGTTCTCTGCAAACCTTGGGGCTAGATGAGCAGCTTGTGTTCTGTGTAAATGTGTGTGGTTTTAAAAGTAGAGATGGCTTGTTTCCTGGTCCTCCTGTTTCCTCCAGTGGAGAATCCTAGTGGTGCGGTGAGTGAGTTTGGCCTTAACAGTACCAGGAGAACAGCTTTGTGACCCAGACAGTTTCCCATGGGACTTAGCTAGGCTTTAAGTTAGATGGCGTGGCAGTGATGCTAACACATTCCAACAAGTGACCACAAAAAGTGTGTTTTGTTTTTTTGGTAAAGGCTCTTCTCAATAGCGTGTGTCAGCATTATCTGGGAGGTCCCGTCGTCGGCTCTCAGGCATCCAGCCCCCCAGCCCCGTTTTCCTTCCAGGTCCTCCTGTGGAGTCACAAGTGCCCACCAGGTCCCTCCAGGAGTTTGACCTCCTCTGTCCAGGAGGACCAAGGGTGTCCCATGATGGTGTGTGAGTCAGAGGCTTAACAATAGCAAGTTCCTCGTTTTTCTTGACATACGGTCATCCCATGGATGGAGGAGCTTTATTTAGTTTTCTGGGGAACTGGAAAGGTCATCTGGTTGGACTCTGTCACTTCATAGACGGGGAAATAAACTGAAGGATAGGGAGGACCCCCCCAGCTAACGAGCATCAACCCAGGGCCGCCCCCTTTTCAGTCTCCGGTTCCCCATCCTTCCCTCACAGGCTTGTCTCAGCATTTCCTAAGTTAACATCATTGCACTAGTCACTTAGAAGGTCCCTAGTTTCATTAGAAAAAAACACACACCCTCAAATGTTCTCAGTAAAGTAGTAAACTCAGTTTGAATGTCAAGGATCATTGCCCTGAGGAATTGTGGGTTAGCCTGTGATGAAGCACCAAAAACTGGAGGCCACTTCGCCCTGCAGAGTGACCATTTGGAAGTCAACAGGTGTCCTGGTTATTTTACGAATGGGACAACTGAGGCCTAGAGAGAGGAAGTGACACTTGCTGGTGGTCATATAGCTCAGGGGTCTGCAAACGACAGCTCACCATCTGTTTTTGTATGGCTTGCGAGCTCAGAATGGTTTTTACTTTCTTAGATGGTTAAAAAAAATCAAAAGAAGAATAACATTTCATGACATGTGAAAATTGTATGAAATTCCAGTTTCAGTGTTTGTAATAAAGTTCTTCTGGAACACGGCCACACTCACCCGTTTCCACATTGTCTGCGGCTGCTTCCACACGGCAGTGGCAGAGGTGCAGAGTTGCAGCAGAGATTGTATGGCTTGCAGGTCTGAAAACACATACTATTGGGCCCTTTGTAGAAAAAGTTGGTGACCCCTGATTTTGCTAAGAATGGAGGTGTGACTTGGATCTGGGGGTTCGGGGTCTGTCCTTGGGGCTGGAGCCGTGATGGAGGTGGGGAGTGTTCTTTTTCTACAACAGCCCGGAGACACTTAGACTTCTAGGGCCTCACTAGAAGCACCAGATGTCAGGGTTTGCAGAGTGCTTTATGAGGACTTACTAGCTGCAAAAGGTAGAAACTGCCTGTTGTTGTCACTCTTGTTGTTTCCCAGGAGTGACAAAGCTGGCAGTGTTAGTTCCACAGTGGTTCACTAAGGAATGGGGCTCAGCCTGTGATAATGAGACTCGGGGCGCTGCACACTTTGGGAACATTAAGTATTAAAAGGAACAATCTTTTAAGAAGATCCCACTGAGGCATTGAGGTTATTTTTTCTTTTAAAGAGATTTTTCCATCTGTCCTTATTTTCCTCCAAACACATTTTACCAGCAGATAACTTTTTCATGCCCTGATAAATAGTCCAAGTTATTTTTTGTATTATTTTCTTTTCCTTGCATTGTTGCTTTTTCATAAACAAAAAGTCAGTTCACTTCTAAGCCTCTGTGATCACATGATTCCAAAAACAAAATAAAACCCAGAACACCCAGTCAGCATCTGGCAAGTGGGAAATGAAAAAAAAAAAAAAAAGAGGCCAAATTGGTTAATGTTTCATCTTCCCGCTCTCCAAGCCATGTGGTAAAAGGAAAAAAAAAATCCTGCAGGATCGAATGGAATCCTAGCTAGCGAGGGCCTAGGCTAACGGTTTGGCCTTAGGAATCCCCAGCTTGGGTGCCTCTCTTGAGCCAGGTGGGACCAGCTGAACCAGACCTGGGTTGTGCTGAGTGAGATGATGAAAGTGCTGCAGGCCTCCCAGAACATGCCTCTTCCGACTCCTGGACAGGCCTGTCCCTTAACAGGGACCAATACCCTATCGCTGGTAGCAGGAGGCACAGGCCCAGGAAAAATTTTCCAAGTCTGCCTGCCCCAAAAGGCATTGGCTTATTAAGCTAGCAGCTCAGTGTTCAAGAAAAAAAACATGCAAAAGATTTTCCTTTTCCCATCTAACGGCACTGCAGACAGGGGAAAACAAATAATGCACGCCATATGAAGTACTTAAAACTACTCACACAAAAATGAACACCTTAAAAAAACAACGGTCCAGGCATTGAAAGTAGCTCTGTGAGCAGGTTGGAATGTTAGGGAGTGGAGGAGGGGAGAGGAAAAAAAAGTTAATCTGGGAGCAAATGCTTGAGCCCTTAATTAGAGGGGTGTAAGCGGGACAGAGGGAGGATGGCTGGTAACTTGTTAAAACAGTTTCCCCAGCTCCAGCGGGAGGAAGGAAGGAAGGAAGGAAGGAAGCAAGAAGGAACAACTTCAAGAATTTTAATGGTTGTAATTAAGTATAGCAACTATGAATTGTTTAGGGGCTTAATTTAACCGTACCCAGCGAGGCTCCAAGTTGCTACTTGCTCAGTCCCCTGAACTTGGGTTATTTCTGTGGTCAGAGCAATTGCAACTTTTTCAGGTGCCAGGGCTGCAGTAGTTGGCATTTTCCAGAAGAATTCCAGGGCTGGCTGGCCTGGTCTCGTACAAGTATGGGACAGGGTTACAGAGTGGCATCAGTTGGGAGGGACACCCTGCCCTTTGCAAGCACTTGTGTGCACACACGTGCACACAGATGCACGAGAAAGCCGGAACGGGAGGCACACCCCACAGCCAACTAAGTTTTCTTTCTCTTTCCTCCCGTAGATCTATCTGATTCCACATTGTCTTACACTGAAACGGAGGCCACCAACTCCCTCATCACTGCTCCGGGTGAATTCTCAGGTTGGCATTTTTTTTTTTCTTTGCACGCTGCTGTTGCGTTGAACTTTGCAGAGGGGGACAGGTGGGAGTGGTGCTGGATGGAGGCCCTTTTGATATTCCCACTCCTTTTCTTTCCCCCTTTCCTCCCAACCCTTAGATGGGAAGACTGCCCATCTCTTCATCACTGGTGTTCTTGGGGTTAAGAATGAGACCCAAAGATGGTAACCTAAAATGCCTGTCGATCCACGTTTTAACCAGTTGTCTCTACCTTGTCTTGTGGAAGTGAGTAAAGCCCAGTACAGCTCTTCATCTCGCATTTTAGCAAGGGATCCTGTTCTCCCAGCTGCTGGGAGGCAGCAAATGGATGTGTTTGTATACATTTCTCTACATGGGTTTCTCCTTCCGTCCCACTCTGGGGAAGGAGCTATGTGAAGGGTCAGAAGGGGGGGAAATGGAGTGGGTGGAACAAGCTTTCAGGAGGGTCTGGTAAGGAGGGAGTTTGCCAGAGGCCAGTGGTTTCCCTGTCTTTCCTGGAACGGCGGAGGCTGGGCTCCTTTGCAGAGAGAACATTAGTTTGGAGCTCCCACCCCTTGCAATTAAGAGTTGGCCATAGGGACATTCCAAGGATATCTGAATCAAGCTTTCCATAAGAAGTAAGAGGTTGGTGGTGACTTGGGGGCATAGAGGGCCAGGAGGGACTTGGGTGCCAAGGTCTGTGGGACCCTTTGGGACAGCTGGGCCTTGTGGCCTGGCCCTATGCTCCATGAGGTGACAGCCCCCCAGGCTGGAGCTGCATGGCTGGATCTTGGCTTGAGGGCTTCTGTCTGCATCTGAGCTGTCTTTCCTCTACCCCCCAGGCCCAAGTCATAATAGCAACCACAGTGACCAGAGCTATTAAGTGTTTACTTTGGGCCATGGCCGGTACTTGGGCCCTTTACCTGTATCCTCTCAGAATAGCAGTAAAGGGACTTGGCCAGGGGCACCTAATAGCAGAACCATTTGTCACTGTGCTCCTAACCACTGTTCTGCCTTGTCCCCCCACCCCTACTTTTCTGCAAGGGCTGAATGTACCCCGATAAACTGAATTGACACACAGTTCTGTCTCATTCTTGCCGCATTCTCCCCATGACTCTACATGAAGCTGGCTGCCTGGCCACTTCCCATTTGCAGACCCTTCCTCATCCATTCTCTGTTCTGTCACAACCATGGGAGACCATAAGACTACATCAGTTTCTAGGATAAAGAAACTAGAAGCTGGAGCAGGAAGTGACTTGTGGAGGGTCACATTCGTGAGACTCAGGGCACAGCTGGCACTGGGGTCTTCTGGATCTTACTTGCCTTTTGGTTTCTGGTGGTCCCTCTAATTGGGTCACTTTGTTTTCTTCTCTGCCTTTTGGCCCTATTTGGTTATACTGCCTTTTCCTGAAAGACCTAACCAGATGAACACAAGGAGTAAACATTTTGGATGTTAGGGAGTAGAGGAGGGGGGAGAGATCCATCTTTTTTCCTCTGTGACTGTGGGGATGAAAGCTACATATAATTCTGAAGAAGAGGATTAAAAGTATGTCTGAATGCATGTGTCTGTGTCCCTGATAATCTTCAGAGTGGGTTTAATTTAGTGGATCACATTAGCATTGGTTGGATGGATAACCCTACCCTCTGTCATTAATGGTGGAAACTCCAGTGTGTGGAAATGGCTTACAGTTCACGGTGTATTCATAGTCATAGTCTCTTCTTTAAAATATATATTTTTGTTTGATTTCAGAGAGGAAGAGAGAGGGAGAGAGAGAGATAGAAACATCAATAAGAATCATTACTCGGCTGCCTCCTGCAGGCCCCTCATGCAGGTCCCCTACTGGGGATCAGGCCCGCAACCCTGGCATGTGTTCTGACCTGGAATCAAACCATGATCTCTTGGTTCGTAGGTCAGTGCTCCACCACTGAACCAATGCGGCCGGACAGTCATAATCTCTTGATCTCTGTCTTCCCAGAGTGGGCCCGGTGTGTAGCTGGCTTAGCAGGAAGGAGCAGACTCCATAGCACCTGCTCGAGGCCCCTCCCCCATCTGGTTCCCAGGAGAGAGCACCCTTTGGAGGCTGGGGGATCTTTGGAGACCCTGGGCCATTGTGTTTGGCTGCCTTTGGGGTCCAGAGGGTCCCTGTTAGTTATTCCAGAGCAGTTTTTGGTCCTGGCCACTGAGCAGGCCACTGCTGCTCTCTCCCGTGGGCCAGGACTTTATGGTTCTCATGAGAAAATTTGGCATCCAGTGGCTTTGTAATTCTAAAGGGGTGACGGAACTGGGGAGGAAGTTTGGGATATCTGATGGGGGAATGATTGAATGGGGCCTGGTAGGCTTTTGTCTGAGTTCCAGTGGTCCCAGTAGGCCAGTGGCATTCCCCATTGTGGTCATCCAGTCCCCTTCCAGGGACCACATGCGTCCCCCCCTGCTCCAGGTTTCACTTCACCATTCAGCTTTCCAGTTTACTTGTGCTGTGAGGGTCTGAGGACTAATGGACTGGCACTGCCCTGCCTCCAGGGAGGTCACAGACTTGGGGCTTGGTGGCTGTCACACTGAAGGACAAGCTCAGGCTCAGGCTGGGAAAAGGCCCAGAGCTGTGCTGGTCTCTGGATGCTGAAGGCAGGAGTCATCCTGCAAAGATGGAATGCAGGGTTGTGCCCCAAGGGCAGGGTGGGAGGCGAGGTGAGAAAGGTGAGGGGAAGAATGTGTTGGGCTGGGGCCAGGGCCAGGGACAAGGTGTCTGATATTCAAGGACAGATGATACTGCTGTTGGTGACAACGGTTGACATTTATTGACACTCACTACTTTGCACTTTGCTAAGTGCTGGTCATTCTTCATCTCTTTGACTCTCACAACCCAGAGACTCAGATGCGATTCTCCCTATTTTATAGGTGAGGAAACTGAGGCTCATTGTTGGGCCAGCTGCCCAAATTCACAAATTTGTAAGTGTTAGATGTGGGATGGGAGCCTGAGCAGTGACTGCCCAGCTCTCCCATCCTGAGGGCCCTGCCTAGCATTCTACAGCAAGGGTTCCCATCCCCTACTGGGAGACACACCCTGGGGGGCCATAGAGGTGATCAGAGGAGCCTGGGGGCAGCCAGTCCCAATTTTAGTACCAAGGATAGGGGTGAGGAGCTGGCTGGAGGCTTCAATGTCACCACCAGGCAAACCTTGCAGACCACCCAGAGCGCTGCCTCCGCCCCCTCAGCTGCCCAGCCCACTCTGTCTCCCTTTGTCCTGAGAGCTTGCCCCTTCTCAGTGCCTTGGGATGGGTGTCCTGCCGGAGTGGGGTGTTTGCAGCCCCACGACAGAGCTGCCCTTGTTTGTCTTGCACGATGACAATCCAGCGCCTGGGTTGGGGCTGTCTATTTTTATCCAGTCCAAGGTCTCCGCTTCACTTTCCTGTCCTGTTGTTGAGGCCACTTTAGAAGGAATGGTGGGAATTTTGAGGCTCAGTCACAGCCAGGCAGGCAGGAACTCATCGGCGGGGGGGTGGGCAGGGCAGGGGTGGCAGACCGGAGACTGTCTTGTTTCAGCTCTCTGCTGAATGGTTGACACAATATTCTCATCTCATATCTACATCACCTCCAAATTTAAATCCGAGAGCCGTGACACTCTGGGTTCCTTGCCTAACTCAGGGCCTGGGGCGCTTTCCCCCTAAAGGTCTGTCTCCTCCAGCCATCTTCCTCTCTGTAAAATCTCCACCCCTTTCCTATTTCCTTGATTTCAGTTTAGTTCCGGGAGGAAAAGCAAGATTAGCTGGTTAAATTCATACTAAGGTGTAAGTGGCTGGTAGGCAACCCTCATTCTGAGCAATTTAAAGGCAGAATATGCCGTAATTCAAAGAATTACAGGATGAAGGGCCATGTGGGAATGGCCATCCTGAGGAGGGCTGAGGGACGAAGGCAGGTTCTCTCAGCTCTTCAGTGCTCTAGGCTAGAAGAACAGAATGAGCCGAACACAAGGAGCTTTGTGCTGTGAGACAAGGAGCAGCTAGGCCAGGCTGGGTGCTGGGTGCTGAGTTCTGGGTCCTTTAATGAGAGGCTGCATAGTGGGGCTGCTTTAGAAGCTAGACCTGCCTGACTCCATGGTGGTGGTGCAGGCTTCTTCAGGATCCAGTGACTTAGCGCTGGTATCCTATTCTAGTGCCTATTGGGTAACAGTTCCAGGGCTTTATTAAGCACCCATTGTGTGCCAGCCATGTTGTAAGCTGCCTGTCATGCGGACTGGGCTGTCCCTTTTGCTGACCTAGGATGTGTGTACCGGTATCTCAGTCCCTGCGGCATGCTGGTTTCTTTAGAGCTGCATCAGCAAGGGCAAGCCCCTCATTTTAAAGAGAAGGCCTGGGGAAGGAAGGGAGCTATGCAGGAACACATGGAGAGTGGCGTCGCAGCTGGATTTTCTCCACCAGTCAGACTGCAAGTTCCTTGAGGGCACAGATCCTTCTCTAGGATTCTTACACTGTGTAGATTGACAGAGTTTGGGAACAGAGGCTCAGAGAGGTTCGGAGAGTGGCTGAGGGCCACACAGCAAGCATAAGCAAGCAGAGCCAGTTTACAACCTAGGTGACTCCATGCTGCCCACCCACCTGCCACCTTTCCTCCCAGTGGTCCCTAAACAGGTACCTTTTGGGGTCAATGCTGTCTGATGTTCATCTTTAGTGCCTACAGGAGCTGGGAGGGGAGTGTTGATGCAGTATTGTCTCCTGCTGCTTCCTGATGCTACGGCCCAAGCATGCTCTCCTCGGATGCCCTCATCTAACAGATCCTTGAGCTCTTAGTTCTCCAAAGTGCTCAGTTCAGTTCAGTCAGTGTGTGCTGAGCCTCTATAGCAGTGGTTCTCAACCTTCTGGCCCTTTAAATACAGTTCCTCATGTTGTGACCCAACCATAAAATTATTTTCGTTGCTACTTCATAACTGTAATGTTGCTACTGTTATGAATCGTAATGTAAATATCTGATATGCATGAAGGTCTTAGGCGACCCCTGTGAAAGGGTCGTTCGGCTGCCAAAGGGGTCGAGACTCACAGGTTGAGAACCGCTGTTCTATAGCAAGGTGGACTAAAGAGCATGGACTGTGCACCAGAGGGCCCTGGGTTCAAGTCCCAGCTGTGCCTTTTCCTATTGTAGGACTTTGGGGCAGCCAGGCCCTGTGCTTAGGTCTGGGGGCACGGAGATAAAAATTGTATCATCTCTGCCCTCAAGGTACTCACAGACAGGTAAAGACAAACACTAGTAATGAGAAGTAGTATAAGAAATGGTC